CTCCCTCACAAAAAAAAAAAAAAGAAAAACTCTTTTCCAGTATATCATGTTATGTTATAAACTGTGAATGCCTAGCAAAACATAGATGTTTTAAAATATAAATTATAACTTAAGCTATTTTTAAAAACTACTGTAATTTTAAAAATATTACTTTTTGCAGAAAGTTTGTAAGCTTAAAAAGTATAGAAGCAAAAATATTTATCAACTACCCAAAGGTAACTGTGATACCATTTGGGGATATTTCATTCCAGTCATTTTTCCTGTGTTTTTTTTTTTTTAATTGATGTCTTAATAGTTTATAACATTTTGAAATTGTAGTTGTACATTATTGTTTGTCAGTCACCATATTAATGCATCCCTTCACGCCTTGGGCCAACCCCACAACCCCCTTGACCCTGGTAACCACCATACAGTTCTCTCTGTCCGTGTGTTGGTTTATCTTCCACATATGAGTGAAATCATGTGGTGTTTGTCTTTCTCTCTTTGGCTTATTTCGCTTAACATAATACCCTCCATGTCCATCCATGTTGTTGCAAATGGGACAATTTTGTCTTTTTTTTATGACTGAGTAGTATTCCATTGTATATATATACCACGTCTTCTTTATCCCATCATCAGGACACTTGGGTTGCCTCTACTTCTTGGCTACAGTGAATAAAGCTGCAGTGAACATAGGGGTGCATAAACCTCTTTGGATTGTTGATTTCAGGTTCATTGGATAGATACCCAGTAGTGGGATAGCTGGGTCATATGGTATTTCTATTTTTAGATTTTTTTATTTTTTATTTTTTCCCCCCAAAGCCCCAGTAGATAGTTGTATGTCATAGCTGCACATCCTTCTAGTTGCTGTATTTGGGATGTGGCCTCAGCATGGCTGGACAAGTGGTGTGTCGGTGTGCGCCTGGGATCCGAACCCGGGCCGCCAGCTGCGGAGCGTGTGCACTTAACAGATAAGCCATGGGGCCGGCCCTATTTTTAGTTTTTTGAGGACTCTCCATACTGTTTTCCATAGAGGCTGTAACAGTTTGCATTCCTACCAGCAGTGAATGAGGGTTCCTGTTTCTCCACAACCTCTCCAACATTTGTTGTTTTTTGTCTTGGTGATTATAGCCGTTCTAATGGGTGTAAGGTGATATCTTAGTGTAGTTTTTATTTGCATTTCCCTGATGGTTAGTGATGTTGAACATCTTTTCATGTGCCTATTGACCTTCTGTATATCTTCTGTGGAAAAATATCTAATATCCTCTGCTCATTTTTTGATTGAGTTGTTTGTTTCTTTGTTGTTCAGTTGTGTGAGTTCTTTCTATATTATGGAGATTAACCCCTTGTCGGATATATGATTTGCAAATATTTTCTCCCAGGTGGTGGGCGATGTTTCTCCCTGGTGGGTGGTCTATTCATTTTGATCGTGGTTTCATTTGTCATGTAGAAACTCTTTATTTTTATTTATTTATTTATTTTTTTGTGAGGAGATCAGCCCTGAGCTAACGTCTGTGCTAATCCTTCTCTTTTTGCTGAGGAAGACCGGCTCTGAGCTAACATCTATTGCCGATCCTCCTCCTTCCCCCCCCCACAAAGCCCCAGTGGATAGTTGTATGTCATAGTTGCACATCCTTCTAGTTGCTGTATGTGGGACGTGGCCTCAGCATGGCCAGAGAAGCAGTGCGTCAGTGCGCGCCTGGGATCCGAACCTGGGCCGCCAGTAGCGGAGTGCGAGCACTTAATCGCTAAGCCACGGGGCCGGCCCATGTAGAAGCTCTTTAATCTGATGAAGTCCCACTTGTTTATTTTTTCTTTAGTTTCCCTTGTCTGGGTAGACATGGAATTTGAAAAGATCCCTTTATGACTGATGAAAAATAGTGTACTGCCTATATTTTCTTCCAGTTTTATAGTTTCAGGTCTCACCTTCAGGTCTTGGATCCATTTTGAGTTAATTTTTGTGTATAGCGAAAGCAGATGGTCTACTTTCATTCGTTTGCATGTGGCTGTCCAGTTTTCCCAGCACCATTTATTGAAGAGACTTTCTTTTGTTCATTGTATGTTCTTAGCTCCTTTGTCAAAGATTAGCTGTCCGTACTTGTGTGGTTTTATTTCCTGGCTTTCAATTCTGTTCCATTGATCTGTGTGTCTGTTTTTGTACCAGTACCATGCTGTTTTGATTACTATAGCTTTGTAGTATGTTTTGAAGTTGGGAATTGTGATGCCTCCAGCTTTGTTCTTTTTTTCAGGATTGCTTTAGCTATTTGGGGTCTTTTGTCGCCCCATGTGAATTTTAGGATTCTTTGTTCTATTTCCATGAGGAATGTCATTGGGATTCTGATTGGGATTGCATTGAATCTGTTATGGACATTTTAACTATGTTTATTCTGCTGATCCATGTGCATGGGATATCTTTCCATTTCTTTAGGTCATCATCGATTTCTTTGAATAATGTCTTACAGTTTTCATTGTATAGGTCTTTCACCTCCCTGGTTAAATTTGTTCCTAGACATTTTATTTTATTTTTTTGAAGAAGATCAGCCCTGAGCTAACATCCAATGCCAATCCTCCTCTTTTTGCCTGAGGAAGATTGGCCCTGGGCTAACATCCATTCCCATATTCCTCTACTTTATATGGGACGCCGCCACAGCATGGCTTGACAAGCAGCACATCGGTGCACGCCCGGGATCCAAACCTGTGAACCCTTGGGCCGCTGAAGCGGAGCGTGTGCACTTAACCACTACGCTGCTGGGCTGGCCTTGATATTTCATTCTTTTTGTTGCGATTGTAAATGGGATTATCTCTGTCTGTTAGTTCGTTATTAGCATATAGAAATGCAACTGATTTTTGTAAGTTTATTTTGTACCCTGCGACTTTGCTGTAGTTGTTGATTATTTCTAATAGTTTTCCAATGGTTTCTTTATGGTTTCCTATATATAAAATCATGTTGACAGACAGTTAGAGTTTCATTTTCATTGCTTGTTTGGATACCCTTTATTCCTTTCTATTGTCTAATTGCTCTGGCCAAAACCTCCAGTACTATGTTGAATAAGAGTGGCGAGAGTGGGCACCCTTGTCTTGTTCCTGTTCTCAGAGGAATGCTTTCAGTTTTTCCCCATTGAGCGTGATGTTGGCTGTGGGTTTGTCATATATGGCCTTTATTATGTTGAGGTTCTTTCCTCCTGTACCCATTTTGTTGAGAGTTTTTATCATAAGTGGATGTTGGATCTTGTCAAATGCCTTCTCTGCATCTATTGAGATGATCTTGTGGTTTTTATTAGTTAATGTCGTGTATCACA